CACCACAGAGAGGCTGTCGCCACAGGGAGACTGTAGCCACAGGGAGACTGCCGCCACAGGGAGACTGTCACCACAGAGAGGCTGTCGCCACAGGGAGACTGTAGCCACAGGGAGACTGCCGCCACAGGGAGACTGCCGCCATAGGCCGCGATCTGTTCCTTCTGAGGGTAGCTCTGGGGTCGCCTGACAGATTCTCATCTGCATGATGAGCAGCCTTTGCTGCCCTCGGCCTCCCCTAAGCTGTGGACCCCAAGTCCCCTTCTTTCTGTCCCCTGAGGGTGGTGCAGAACTTCAGTCATCTGCCCTCCCCGGGGTCCGTACGTGCGGGGCTCCGTGTTGGCGGCACGGTAACGAAGTTGTAGGCTTCTCCTGTCCGTCTGCTGTCCAGGTGAGGCGGACCGGGGCAGACTTCAGCAGACTTGCGGCCCTTTAGAGGGAAGGCTGAGCTTCCCGGCAGTTGCTCCTCCTGCCTCCCCTAGAGCGACAAGCCCTCGGGACGCGCACTTTCCCAGCAGCCGTGTCTGGAGCAGAGCGGCTTGCTGGCGTCTGCTGACTCCTGCCAGGTTACAGGTCCCAGGTCAGGTTAGTAACACGGCCACGAAGGCGGAGCTCGTTCATTCATTTGTTCATTCACTCATTCACCCTGCTCCTCTGCCCCACAGAGCGGACGTGCAGAAGTGTGGGTGACGCCCCGCAGGGACTGTGCCCAGAGAATTCTAGCACCTCCTCCTCGTCCTTCCACGCGGGAGTGAGTCACCTCTGCTAACAGCCAGGCACCGAAGAGAAGGACGGGCCTCTCCTCCACCAGGAAGTCACTCGCGGCCCACGGCGCCCACGGCGGCATCGATCCCTCCCTCCCCCCAGCGAGCGAGGATGTTGCTCAGAATCATTTAATTTTCTGTTCGAATGAAGCCCGTCAGGACAGATCAGCAGCCGTGCTGCCGGGGGCCTCCCAGGGCGAATCCCACGGGCTACGCAGACTGAGTTGGCAAAGAAGCCACGCGTTTTATCCGGGGCGCTGTTTTATAAGATTCTACCTTTCTGACAAAGCTCAAAAACCAGAATCTCCTCAGAGGCCCTCACAGGTGGAAAGAACTGCTGTGACATTTGGCCCATAAATCCTGCGGGGTCCGAAACAAGCAGAACTTTCTCCCGGAGGAAATGGGCGAGAGAGTGCAGGATCCCCGGGATGCGGGGAGGGTGCAGCGGAGCCGTGGGGCGGGGGTGGGAGCTGGTGGCCTCTGTCAGGGGCAGGTATCGGCTCCAGAGCCGCCAGCCAGATAAATTTCTGCTCATCACAAATTGCCCGGTCCGTGGTGTTCTCTTACAGCAGCTCACCATGGGCTAAGACAGGTACCGGCTGTACATTCACGAACACGGAGCAGGAGTAGACCCCACCCAGCTCTGACGGCCTGGGCCCCAGAGGCTTGTGGGGCCAACCGAGTCACCTCCCCCCGCCCATTATATACCCAGGGAAGGCTGTTACACCTGCATGGACCCCGAGCTCTCTCACACCCACGCTCGGGCCGTGGGGGTGGTGGGGTGGCGGTGGCAGTGGGCCTGCACGGGGCAGATGACCTGCAGGCTGTGTGGCGGAACGACCCTGCTGTCTGAGCACTGCACACACAGCCCGAGCGTACAGGTTGCAAAACCTCAAGAGACTCTTCTCCTCAAGG